GGAAATCAGCCAGGGTCGAGAATTTCTTAAAATTTTCGACAGTATTCTATCAGAGTCTCTTCTACAACCGCCCAAAATTCCTTCAGTCTCAAGATCATAGTTTTGATTTTCTGATTTTTTTCAAAGAGAGTGACTACAGTGAAGCCTGGATTTCTTTACATCAAGTTTCAAAATTATCCAAAAATTCAGCAGGAACTGGAATCCACTGAATTTTTGCACACTCTATAACTAAAGCCTCCTTTACACCGGGGCCAAATTTCAAGTGTCTGGCGTGCTCAGTTTGGAACTCATGAATTTTCGAACCTATGAAGTCTTCAAATGCACGTCTTGCACTTTTTGGCAATCACCTTTAAAAAGTCCTGGAAAATCAGCCAATCTCGGGAATTTCTTGAAATTTTCGACAGTGTTCTATCAGAGTCTCTTCGACAACCGCCCAAAATCCCTTCAGTCGCAAGATTATAGTTTTGGTTTTCTGATTTTTTTCAAAGAGGGTTCAAAGAGGGTTTTTCAACAGTGTTCTATCAGAGCCTCTTCTACTACCACCCAAAATTCCGTCAGTCGCAAGATTACAGTTTTGATTTTCTGATTTTTTTCAAAGAGAGTGACCACAGTTAAGCCTGGATTTGTTTACATCAAGTTTCAAAATTTTTCAAAAATTCAGCAGGAACTGGACCCCACTGAATTTTTGCACACTCTATAACTAAAGCCTCCTTTACACCGGAGCCAAATTTCAAGTGTCTGGCGTGCTCAGTTTGGAACTTATGAATTTTCGAACCTATGAAGTCTTCAAATGCACATCTTGCACTTTTTGGCAACCACCTTTAAAAATTCCTGGAAAATCAGCCAGTGTCGGACTACAATTTTTCACAGTCCACCCCTTGGGCCTGGTCTATAAACGTAAGAAACCTCCAACTTCTAGCGGTCGCCGGTTGGAACTTATGCGTTCTTGAATACGTTTGCAGCTTTCACTGCTGCCGTTTTTGCACAGTCACACTTAAAAATTCCTCAAAAATCAACCGTTTGAGATAATCGCTTCAAATTTTGCGTGTGAGCCAGCGGGACCCTTACTGAAGCTCCAGCAGACTTAGCTGGGAAGTTATGAAAGTTTGAAACTGTGCGCGCCCAACGCCAACGGACATTCTGGACAATGGCGAATGCGCCCCCGTTCAACTCACCATTCGTGTTGGTGTTCCAGAAGTAGCTTTTGCCGTCTTTGGTCACCGCCTCGTGCCAGACTTTGACAATTTCCAGCTTCTCATCCTCGATCTGCTTGCGGATGGCCATCGACGTCAAGTCCACCGTCGCATTGTGCTCCACATCCCGTCTGTAGGCGTCCAGCGCCGCCACCTCCATCGCCTTGATGGCCGCATCCACCTAAACACTCTGCATCAGAACTGGGTTCGATCCAGCCGAGAAAACACCCACCTTTTCCGAGGCCTTGAAGGCCTTGGCGCTGTCCTTGGTGATGGTCTTCAGCCGCTTCTTCACATTCTCCTTGTGCCGTTTGCCGTTCTCGTGAAAGTCGCGACTCTGCAACCGGAGAAAATGGGCGACAGCGACCTTGAGGAGGCCGCCCGATTCGGGGCGCAGCCCCGAAGACACTCACCGGCTTGTTGTCGGCGATCCAGCACTTGCAAAAGTCGCAATATTTGCGATCCTGCGATTTCCAATAGTCGGCCCTGCAAGCAGAACAGAGAGAACCGATCAGAATCTGTTGCGCACTCTGTCGCTCGCATTAGCGAAATTTCACTCAGTCCGGCCCTGGACGGCTCAAGTGCGCGGTCGAGTGTTTTTCCGGCACCCACTTGATTGCGAGACCAGCGGCTCGTGGACGGAGGCTATTTTTGATTGTTGCATGCGCGGTTGCCAGATTGATCGCGGCCATCTGGAGGCCTATTTTTAGTGGGCGATCAATTTCCCACTCGATATTGACGCAGAAACACGAAAAACCCGCAAAAACCGGAGGTTTTCAACATTAGTTTGTCTATTAGTCAGAACGTCGTTGGTCCTCCCCCTCCACCTGCTATTCATTAAAAACTTCCACCAACGACGTTCAAGATTTAAGACAATTTTCTGTTCACAAACTCATCCACTGCTCAAATTCCCCACTTCCACGTTCACAGTCCTCTCCTCTGCAAGTTTGAGGCAAAAAAACCGCTTAACCCTCCAGGGGCCCCGCACGGGGGCGAAGCCCCATTTAAATTCAATTTCCCTTCCGCGATTTTTGGGGTTCTCTAAACCCTAATCCCGCTCAACTCGCTGTGTTTTAGTCCACTCAGTTGGTAAGCTTTGGGGCCCCCCAGGGGGCGAAGCCCTGCTCCGATCCCTGCCAAAAATACTCCCCATAGGGCCAGGGGTGCTATCTACCGCTGTGCCAAAATTCACTTGAATCGGTTAAGAATTGCGGCGTTGGCAGGCGGATAAAGATATGCAAGTGCGGTGGCAACCCTGGCACTTGCAGTGGCAACCCCACAACTCCATCACTATGGAAATTCAAACTTGCGCTTTAAAAACCCGAATTTGCAATGCAGCTCCAAAGTGGAAAACTTCAGGTTTGCACACAAAATT